TATCGCGATATGACACGAACTTTCACGCACATGTCGCGACATGAAGCCCGCATATCGCGATATTACATACCCCGGCAAAAAATGCCCCTCCCTATGTCGCGACATGAAAGGCACTATATCGCGATATGACATACCCCGACAAAATGCCCACCCCCCATGTCGCAACACGGAGTCCATATGTTGTGATAGGACATATCCTAACAGGATATGCTGACCCCATGTCGTGACACAAAGTCCATGTATAGCGACACGTCCTATCTGGGTATATCATGTCCCGATATGAGACGTTTGTTGCGACAGCTGTGCCAGAGTGGCATGGAAGCAAGGCGCCAGTCGTGATATACACTGCCGCGATATACATGCGATATACATGGGGTTCCTATCATGACTTGCTGCGGAGGTCTTGTCGCGATGGTATCCCACAGTTACGCGTTTGGCAACAGCGTGTCACGGTAGGGAAAGAAAAGGAGACCGTGCCTTAGAAAATAAAAAACATCGATCTTACAATCACGGTGATTTTACATACATTACAACCACAGGTTTATGTCATAGATGGTTAACTTGTTGGCATGCATCATGTCTTAGTATTATTCACTTCTAAGAAGGCTCATATGTTTATCGATATTGATTGTCTTTAAAATGTTAAGGCTACAAGCTAAACTGTAACAGAGAGCTTGAACTCGGGAGACGGGGTCACTGGAGGTCAAAGTCACCGTGCATGGTCACGTGATCACCGGAAACACAAGGCGCTGTATCTCGGGAACGAAAGCAGCACAAACGGTACTTTCAACGGCACAAACCGGCACAAACACAGCACTAACGAATGAGGTGGGTTTAATCGTTTGTGCTGTCTGTAGGGGGGGCAACTTCACGGAGCTATCCAACTGCCATCAAGCGGCGTATTTAACAGCTGTTAATCTTCCGTCTCCAGCTACTCCACAGTTAAAAAAGCACATCACGCATGTTGTAACAGCGGATTGAAGTACGAGGTCAGCCCGTGAATGCCCACTGAAAGTGGGAATTTGTCTCAGGGGTCCCCTGTTACAAATGATCAAATTCATTTAAATGCACGAGATACAATTCATCAAACATAAAAGAAGCTCAAAACATGAGACATGAAAAGCATACATTTACAAATAAAATAATGATACTAAGAGTAACATAAAGCATAGATTAAATTAATCAGATCGCCATTCATTAGTTCACTACATTTTCTACTAGAACAATTAAATCAATACAGCAAGGTGTAGAAAACAATACTTAAGGAGTCATTATTATTACTACAGAGTTATTAGATTACAATATGGAGTACGCTGGGCATTTGATATCTATAGTGAAGGACCATATTTACGAATACAGTCACAAGCGTGCTACAAGCAAACTCTCGACTTTGACATCGCCTGTGAGTCTCAAACAAATGCTAAAACTGCTGGCCAGTGAAATAATTAACATCATCATAAATTGTCTCTCTGAGCAGCACCTTTCAGAGCAGAAAAAAAAAATATCTGCATGACATTATTTTTGCTTTGTATGTGTTTTACACTTAGGAGTGATGTCTTTAAGGTATGTAACCAAGAAGCTTTTCAGGATGTCTTCAGTTGTTCTTATTGTTTCTAGAAGCGCCAGGCTGCTGGGCGCAGTCCATATGGAGACCTGAACCAGGACCAGGACCCGAAGAAGCCTGTTGACTCCCCCAGCTCGTGGGCCTTCCCCTGCCGCTGGCCCGGGTCAGACTCTCCCCTGGGCCCCAGCTGTGGGGGATTTTCAGAGCTCGAGTTCGGTAAAACGTGTTCCCTGCTTTGTAGTTAGGAAGGAGGAGGCAATATAGGTGTGGAAAAGATTTGATTTTTTTTGCAATATAAGAACAGTTGCACACGAGGGGAGACCATTTGACTCAGGTGGCCCGTTTTCGTAGAGTCAGTAGCTGATGAGTCTGAAGATCCAGCTGCTTCTTGAAACAGGCCGGGGTCACGGCTTCGACGACGTGGCTGGGCCGCCTGACGTCCTCCAGGCGACCCTCTGTGTCCAGGGGCGCCCCCCGGCGCTGCCTTTTACCGATGTTTACGTCTTGTTCTGAGTTACAGAAAACGGAGGAGGTCGCAGAACCGGTCTTTTCTTCACTAGCCAAAAGGGTTCAAGTTTGTCAATGAAATGTTTCTTGAGATGCAATGGTGTATGAAGTAGAAAAAAATGAATAGTTACGAATCCTTTCGTGAAATAATACGTGAGCCCCTCATTTACATAATTAAGAGGGCAGTCAGAATTAGGGGGTTACAAGTAAATAAGGACTGAGTTTTGGCCACCCTGCACTGTCAACTACTTTGTTTCTTATATCCTCTGAAATACTTATCACATTTCTTTTCTAGCCATTGAAGAAGTTTCTAAGTTGAAGTTCCAGTGAGATTCCTGCAGACAAGTAGGCCACGTGTTAGAGGATCTGGGTTTTACCCTTACTTCATAGCACTACCTAGCTCACAGAAATCACCTTTCCCGATATGAATTGGTTTTTCCATATGAATACACAACAATGTGTGTAATTACACAGTTAATAACAAGACATTTTGAATTATTCCCCATAGCATGTTTAAGCAAGGTTCAATGGTTTGTAAAACGTCCATTTCTAACCAGCAGAGGGCAGTAGAAGTCTAGTACAGTTGGAGTACTGTACTTTTGTTACTTCAGATGACATTCTTAAGATGTGGAAGGAAATGTATTTTCTCAGCAGAGGGAAAGATATGGAGGGAGACAATGAGTCACAGAGGTTGCAGCTGGTGATTGCAGCCTTTTCTGAAGCAGGCGGGCTGCTTTTAAGAACCGAGGGACTGCGAGGTTGTGATGTACTCTAAAATACGGTCTCTTTTGTGAGGACAAAACGCCATGCATTTAAGGGAAGAATATGCTGGAGTTCTTAGAGCTTTTAGAGGTTCAGGAAGTAGGACGTGATGCAAAGTTTTTGCGGGTATTGAGTTTTGATACTGCTTTTCACACTGCAAGGTCATTGTGTAAAAGGTCTATCAAACTGTACAGCTCTGTTTGAGCTACTGTGAGCCGGGCGAGCAGGAGGGGCAGGAGTCTCTCCCAGTACGCTGGTTTTTGTGTCGTTTGTTCTTTCCAGCAGCTCCTACCACACATCCCTGCCTAGCCCACTTCACCCCAGACTGCTCTTTCTCAGCCCTGTGCCCAGGACACATACTGCAGGCTGGTGCTCTGATGCAGACTGCTCAGTGGTGAATTCATCCTCTCAGCTACAGACACTATGCCTTGTCACGTTTTGTCACTGTGCTTTCACCGAGCAGCTCATTTAGAGCACTCCTAATCTGGGGTTGTCTTTATCCTTTAAACATTACACTTTGAGTTGAATTTACTTATTTGGATTTTGGGGTAATTTCAAGAAGGGTGGTCAGTCGGCTTTTATTTTTTTTCAAAGTTCAAACAACATAAAAAAACTGCAGAGTTTAGGCTTTCAGGCAAGACTTGTTTTGCTTATTACAAAAAGATGCTTACTGCAGTTTTTCAAAACGCATCGCTAATTTTCAACCTCTGCAGGCAGAGACGTAATGAAGGATAAGATGTTTCCAAGAGGTTTAGTCTCCGGTTTCTGTGTTTTGGGTTTCTGTCAGAGGTTTGTTTATGGGCGTCAGTTGCCTTGATATTGTTTCTATATCCTGACTGTAAACGATCAAGACAACTTGTAAAGCTTAGGGTGCATTATTGTTGTTTTATGTCCTGCATTTTCCAAACCACCCAAATGCGATTGCATTGGGAAAGTTTTTGAAAATGTGTTCAGTTTGAAAATGTGTTCAACATTCACCTGAATGTTGTTATTTTTATGTTTATTATATACAATTCTAGATGCAGGTAGATTTCCCTAAATCTCATCACTGAGCTTGTCGGTTTCTTCCACCTCTTTACTGACATACTGTACCTGCACCGCTCTGTCCTGAGCCTACAACCGGCAATCCATCCCACTACGGTCTGTCTTATCCACCCATACAATCTGTCTGATCTTCCCTTCGATCAGCGTGGACAGGTCCAGCAAGTCCTGCTGACAGACTGGAAATCCACGGAGCGCCGCTCCCGATCCATCCGGTCTCCATGGCGTGAGCCAGGTGGCTTTGCAGACTCCGAATCCGTCACTGCACGGCCCCACACAACGGCACAGCTAAGTTTCCCATAGCGTGGATCTGTGTGTGTCTGTGTGTGGATGTTGTTGGATGTGTTGAAAAGGGATATTTCAGTGTGTGTGTGTGTGTGTGTGTGTGTGTGTCTCTGGCTGTGTAAGTGGGAGACGTGGGTGTGTGTGTGCAGTACGTGTTTGTGGGGTCTCTCCGAGAGCAGCTGTGTGGAAGCATCCAGCGTTCTCCTCAAAGCACAGCCCCACTGATCCTACCCTTCTGACTTGCCTTTTGTTTCCAGCAATTCTGGCAGAACTAATTTGAATTTATCTTTCTTCTCCTTCCTCTCCTTTAATTTAAATATTATTATTTTCCCATTTCGAGATTTCAAAGCCCCGTTTTGGCCGTTCCCATCTGGAAGAGCAGGGCTGCGCGGCCACAGTATTTGTTTCTTGAACTCCCACACAGAATAACCACAGATATTAAACACTGCGGGGAGGAGTGGGCTTCCTCCCCCACTCACCACACATCTCAGCTAATCATTATCAGTCTAGACCGGGACAGAGACAGCGGGGCAAGCCCACAAACTTCTGGAGCCTCTCGGCATGTGTGTGTCTGTGTCTTCGCTCATCTCCGCGCTCCTCACCTCTGCCCGGGATCGGGAGTGTGTTGGGAATGAGTACCTCCAGCCGTAACTGTCCACTGTTCCCGTGTTTCAGCTGTCACCCAGGGGATCCCAATGTGTTGAGGTTAAGTCAATAAATCAACACCAGGAGTGCTTTTTCCATTCTTGTTGTTATTTCCTAGCGTAATTCAAAGTTTATGTCTGGCTTTTTTATGCTTCTTGTACGCAGACGTTTATGTCACAGATATAACTAAGACTGTAGTTGCATCTCTGTATTCTCAAATTCAATGTGTGATGGGGATGCAGCATTTGAATCTGTTTGTAAGGGTAGGTTAATTAGTTTGAACTGTTCTTGCAGTTACGTTGGTGGGCACAAGAGGGCGGACTTGTACCTAAAATAGTTTTCCTTTTCCTGTCCTGTTCTAGCACCGTCCTGCACAAGGCTCCCAGGATGTCTGTCAGTCACCGTGCAGATAAGTGCACAGATTGCACTTGCCTTTGAGAGTAATAGTTTTAAGTGTAGCCTAAGGTTAAGAAAGTCACAGAGGCCGCAGTGTATAATTGCACAATCTGTAACTAACTCTCTGTGGTGGGAGGCTGAGCTGGGAAATGCTTATTCACACTGACCTGATGATGTGCTCTGCTAATGGAGCCTGACCTTCGCAGTGCAGTAGAATCCACACCGCTGCTAGTCTGCTATGCTACAAAAGGCCTATAATATACCTTTTTATCCTTTCCAGTAAGTAATACTTAGAACAAAGTGTTAGAGTTTAGGTTGTGATATGTGAATTAAGCTGTTTTAGATAAATGGTATGTTTGTAAAAGAAGAACTGTCAGAAGGGGACTACTGCATATGAGTAAGCAGTTTGAATATCAGTGCTCTAGAAATGATGAGGTCATGCACGTTCATTTCTGCTTTCGCTGGGACCATCACTCTTCTTAAAGACTTCGAAGTTAAACTGATTCCTAAACGTTGCTTCCTGCGAAAGTGTTGCGCGCGTAGCTCAGGTTTCCTCTCTGCCCATTGCAAGCGGTCAGGCTGCAGGCTAAATTCAGAGGACAATCCTTCACTTCCCATCACCTCCACAGACCTCTCTGGTTTGTGTCCTGCACTAGTCAGCGCACAGACTGCGGAGAAATCCAAAACGCAGACTGCGGTACACAAACCTAAAATTTTCCTTGTGTTCAGTACTTAGGTTTTCTATTGAAGGAGGGAAAAAATAAAAAAAGATGTCTGAAGCGTTAAAAAAAATTGTTGCAGCTTTGAACATTTTAGGGACACTCGTTTTTGTCCCCAAGGGATGCTCTTTGTGCCTTGTTACTATAAAAAGAGCGAGTCACCTCAAAAGAGAAAGCCTCAACTATTTGACAGTGAATTGTGGTCTCTAATTATAGGAGCCTTGGGCAGGAGAAGTGGCTTGTGTTTCCAGTTCAGTGAGGAAGCCGTTCTGAGACAGAGGTAGAGCTGTTGTTTATTGAAATACTTCTGGCCTGAGCTCTGTCAAAGTCTTGTTATGTCTTTTTTATATGTTTTCCTTACATTTTTTTGTATTCTAATGAATTTCAAAGGCGTTTCTAGAAGATGAGAATCGGGTGTTTTTCTTTTTTCCCGTTTTATGTATTTGCAAACCAGCAACAGAAAATGGGGCCTCAAAGCGTCCCAGAAGGCATGACAGGGTGCCCCAGTCTTTATACTTTAATCCAGGATTACAGCGCATTACTGAAATATGCTGCGCTTTGCCCACATCCACATATTAGGAGAATCAGAAGTTAACGAATGAGTGGCAAGTGGAACTGATCTTCTCTGTCACACTGCTCTGTGTGCCAGACCCAGTGCCGGGCACAGAGGTGTTCCGTGGGCCATGAACAAGTGCGCTGTGGAGTTGTGGAAAAATAACAGGAGGAAAAAGTCAGAAACCTCTCAGAGATTTTAAATTCTGTCAAAGCCAAACTGCATCCTGGGCTGCTTCCCTTCACTTCTCAGCAGATCACCAATGCCGAGCCTGTTTTGCGTCAAGCGCAAAGAGCAGCTCTGAGATGAATGGTTCCAGGGCTCAGAGCTGCACGGTCAACATGTAGCTGCCCCAGTCAAAGGGCTCCGGACTTCACTTCAGTAAGGGTGTGCAACGTAAAATGTTGTTCCGACTTAAAAAAAAAGAAGTTTCTTGTTTTAATGTCTGTAACGAGGAGGTGTGTGTTCCTCCGTGCAGCCCTCATTCACATCTGTATACCCTCAGACTGCAGAAGATTAGAAAGCACATTTATCCGGCTTGATCGTCACTATCGTTACAAAAAACCCAACGTGCTTTTTTTTTTTTTACATGACCCAGAGTGTTTTTTGCGATGCGCTTACCGCTGGACTCCATTCCAGCAGAAACGTCTTCCAGTGCTCCAATATGAATAGATGTATTAATCTGAAGCCTATCTACACACACGCACACACACATAGACAGTATATATTAAACACATAACTGCGCAGGTCTGAAAGCACTGGTGGTTTCCCCTGAAGCCTGGGGGGCTGTCAAAGCCCCCTTTGTGTGTGAGCTTCACTCGGGGCCCGGCCTCCCTCGCTCCCTCCCTCGCCGCGCGCTGGCTCTGTGGTGGCGAATCACAGTTAATAACTGTGTGGTTAGCTGTCAGGAGCACTTAGTTTGATGCTAGGCAGGTTGGCTGGGGAACAGAACTTCCTCTGGCTGTTAGGGCGGTCGGTCTGTCACAAGAGAAGGGGTGAACGAGAGAGGGAGAAGGACGGTGAGGCTGAGGGGGGGCAGTTTCAGGTTCAAAAGGGACATAGAAGGAGAAGAGGGGATTAGAAGTAAAGGGTGGTGGGGGTAGTAGGAGCAGGGTCATCTAAGTGTTTCCTCTCTCTTGCTCTCTCCACCCCCCGCAGTGCTGATCCAGCCCTGCTGGTGAAAAGCTCTGGATGGACAGACACAGAACCTCCACTTCCTGAAGCAGCACAGGTGCAGCGCCCTGCAGACGACTGCAGCTTGACCTGTCCTCTGGCCTCCCCGCTCGCTGTCCTCTGTGTCCACAGCCCTGGACCTCTGCGCTGCACTCTGGCAGGCGATCAGGGGTGCCCAGTAGCGTGCCATCTTCTGGTGAGAGCACCAAGCCCAGTGTCCTGTTGCAGTTTTATTTCCTTCATTATGAGATGTGCATTGTAATTTACAGCCAAGGGAAAAAAATGCAAGCAGCTATTTTATGTAATAGACAAAATAGTTTATTTGTTGGAAGTAGCAACTTGGTCAGAGACATTGTAGTTTGTTCTGAGGGGGTTCCTATGTGCTTTAGGTCCTGTGTGCATTAATGTTCATTTTGGTTTTGTCCTGCTTTCAGAACGTCCTTGACCAGTGTTTCAGATTGCCAAGCCAGTCCTCTGTGAGCTGGAGGGATGTGCAAGTGAAACTCTGGGCTGTGTGGTTCAGGGTTAAATATATTAACTCAATTCCCGTGACTTCTCATACGCCAGTTGAACCCTTTAGTGTCGGTTCTCAGCTTTCTGTGAACCTTCAGGAGCACTGTAAGTCACAGTGGGTGTGTGTTGTTAACTGTCACTGAACGTACAGTCTGTTGTTTTTTGAAGGCAAGACATAATGAAATCTTTATTTTCCTTTGTTGTGTATCTTTCCATGTCCGCTGAACACAGTTTAGGATGAGAGTGATTTGTTTTATTTATTTGGTTTTGTGTTCTGCGAGTATACAAGGCTTCCTTAGTTTGCCTTTCAAAACAGAAAACAATTGAATCCTCTCGGAAATTGAACGGATATTCAGCTAACGTCATTAACCAGGCACTGGAGGAGACATTCAACTCCAAAAAGAACCCCCGTGGATGCACACAAAAACACAGTAACTGTTTGCCCAGTACATGTTACAGGAATTAGTCAGCTCTGCAAAGGTTACTGGATCAGAACAGCATTAGATCTATTGAAGAGAAACATACAGTACAAATGTATACGTGACATTCTCAGCAAATATGAAGACAGGCTGCCAGGTCTTCTCAGAAATAATGGCATATGCGTGATTGCATGGACCAGCTGTAATGCAATGTGCACAGGTGATACTAAGAGGGAGCTGGATATTAGCGTGGGGCAGCACGCGGGAGGGTGTTTATTTTCTGTTTAGTGAATGCAGGGTCCCTGCGCCAAGAGACAGCTCCTGGCCCGGCTGTGTCAGGACCGTCCTCCACTGAGTCTGTGGAGTGGGCAGCCCACAGGCTTGCTCCATCCCACAGGAATAAAGAGGGCGGCACTGATCCCCCGTCTGTAGAGGCTGGCCGAGATGTGGACCACGACCAGTCCTAAAGTGGATGGGAGGGGGCCACTCTTCTCCTGGGAGGTGAAAGCCGGGAGACTGTTGGGCAGGGCATGCAATCAGGTGCTCGTTAGGCGAGTCCAGCTGGAGCCTGCATTGAAGTCTTGCTGGGGAGGGATTCTCACAGACGGGCCTTCTTGAAGGCAGACGTGTCTTTGGAAGATTAAATGTATCCCCGTGTAGCGGCAGGCAGGTGGGGAGTGTTTTGGACCTTTCTGAGCATTTTATGGAAGGTATAAGGACTAGGAAGTTGCAAACGAACCTTGGCACTGGAGATGGTATTTGTGATAAGAAAGAAAAATAGTGGCAGGAGAAAAAGTGTATTTTAATTCAAGGCCGACATCCTCCACTCACAGGGCAGGTATCCACAAACCAGATATTACCCACAATCCTCCCCAAGAAGGGCTCACAGCTCTCAGCAGGCCAGAGAAGATGCATAACAAAAGAATATCTGATGTTCTTTGCTGAAAGAAATCACAGGCTCAATGACAGTGATCAAAAGACAAAATATTCAGGACACATTTTTGGGATGTGTAGTGCTTTATTATGACCAATTGCCTCAGCTTTAGTGAGTTAATTTCCCAATTCAGTTACACATCAAGTAGCCACGGTCTGATTCAAAGTTGACCTGAGCCCAGGTGAGGCTTGAAGCTGAGACTTCTTTCGTTCGATAGCATCCATCCTCTTTCTAGCCACTTCGTCCAATTCAGGATCGTGGAGGAGATAGAGCCTATCCCTGCAAGCAATGGGCACAAGACAGCATAGACCCTGGACAGGACGCCATACCAACACAGGGCAAACAGACACTCGCACCAGGACCAATTTCCCCAGAAGCCAATTAACCTAGAAGTACGTTTTGGGACTATGGGAGGAAACCTACTGTACATGAGCACAGGGAGAACATACAACTCCACACAGTTAGCACCCGAGTTTTTATATATTAAATATAATTCCGTTCCTTAGGCTCTGTGTCTTTGAAGTTACAAGTTAAATCCGGTATTGCAGCGTTTACAAGATTGTGAGCCTGTTAACATGAAATTGATAGAGGTTTAGCCTCAGAGGAGGCTGATATATACTGAAAGACACAGAAGGGAGGAAAAGCTAAGCATGTATTTTGGGGTTAATGCAGAATAGAGGGGCACAAGACTGTAAAGAGGACAAACATTTACACGAGGAAAGGAAGGCATAGGATTGAGTTAACGAGTTAACTAGCTGAGATCATGAGCAGAAGAGACAGGCTGGAAGGAGACTACTACAGAGCAGCAGGGGTGGCTTAAGCAAGGGGGAGCAGAAAAAGTCAGCATTAGAGAAGGACGAGCAAGGGAAGCTGTTGGGAGTTGAGGAAAGACAGTCTGAAAGACATCTGTCCTGAATCAGAGCATTTGGATTAGAGCAGCAGTGTTGTTCAGGTTAGGGGTTTTCAAGCCCAATTTCTCTGGCAATCTCAGAGTGTGGCCAACGTTGCTTACAGGTGAACACCCTTCCGTTTGTGAGGGTACACTAGAGCACTGCCAGGGCTCCTCTGTGAGAAGACACTTGCTTTTCCCTGTCCTGAATGTGCTTTTCTCCTCATTTCCTCTCGTGTCCCTGCGGCTTAGTCTCCTGCGCCGAGTCTGAAACAGGGTTTTGAATCCCTCCCTCAGATTAACCCCCAATCAGCCAGACAGCCTTAATAGCACTCAGAGGAAGACCCCCAGCCAACGGGCAAGCCACCCTGGAGCCTGATCTCCTCACGGAGCAGAGGAAGACAAACAGGTTTGGCCTTGTCCTTGACAGGCCCCGAGCTCTGAGAGAAACCAGGTGCTGCAGTGTATGACACATATTGGCACATTCCCGTTTTCTCTCTCCCTTCACAGCCTCAAAGCTCGTATTTTTCTTCCACTGCTCTTTCCTCGTTCCTTGAACACGACTATAACATCCCTCTGTTTCTGTTTCCCCTTCGCTGTCTCTTTCTCTTCAGGCCTTTCCCCCTTTCCCTCTCCAGACTCCAGACCGTTCTCCGGATCCCCCCTGCGTACACGGGACTGAAAAATAATGGAAAGACGTCATACTTACCCAGGTGAATCAGTGAAGGAAATGTTCACATTTACAGTATGTGTTCATAACTTCTGCATGTCTGAGATCAGCATGCATTCAGGATTACAGTTAACGACACTCTTCTCGAGTCCTGTACTGGCTGAGGGGTTGAGGGGGATGGAGAGGGCTGTGTGTTTGTTCAGCTCTCACACTGCTCAGGCAGAGCGCTGTCCTGTGCCCGTGCTCCCCAGGCTGTGTGTGAGCGGAGTGGGGCACTAACCCCAGGGTCCTGGCCAGCCTCCAGAGCAGACTGAGCTCTGGCTTGGCTCCATCCCTAATTCCGGACACTCCATCATGATGCCGTCGACAGCGCAGAAAGAAACTGAATCTGGGGAACAAATGTTTTCACACATAGTCTCCTTCCGGCCTAATTGCCTTGGATAGTTTAATAAAACAAGTGCTCAATCCTCAGTGATGGCTCCGGCCCGCAGACTCGATCTGCGGCTGTCTGGGCAGCACTGCGTGTCCCTGCCCCCAGCCCCGCCCAGCCTCCACTGACATTCTGGCTTCTGTCGTCAGGATTATTACATCAAGAGGTCATTGCCTTAGTTTCGTGAATATACTTTTGCAGGTTCAGCTGTTAAACGGAGTCCCTGATCTTCACCATCCTACTGCCTCTTGACTCTTCTTGGGTTTACATAACATACCATCTAGTGCAAATGGTGCTGCATGTTTCATGCTGTGATTTACATTGGCTTTATATCCTTAGAAAATCACCATCAAAGGTCTGCAGAACCCCTTGTCTTTGACCTAGTGCTATTTCTTTTTCACCTCTATGCTTTTTCATTCACTGGCACATGGCCCTGCCAGCCACTGGTTGCTTTCAAGAGCATCATAATTCTGTTCTATTCTTTCTGACGCAAAGCCTTTAGTGCTACTAATGCCTAAGCCTCTCTCAACTCCTCTTGTTCCTCCCCTGTCTCCCAGTTCTTGACTCTTCCTCTGCAGCCCTGTCAGTTCCCTGGTGTTGTGCTCAGCCTGGCCTGGCCTGTCCAGAGCTCAGGAGCAGCTGTGTGTGTGCTCAGCCTGTCCTGTCCAGAGCCCGGGAG